AAATGTTAAAGAAGGGGACTGAACAGTGTTAACCCTCTTTTTAACAGAAGTCAGTTCAATGACATGCCAATTCAATAATCTCAGTAGCCTGTGTACAGCAATTTTTTCTGAGAGGAGGGGGCAACTGTACATATGCTATTATCTCAGTATAAGTTTAAAAAAAACACATCAATCCAATTTCCATTGTCCAAAATCAAGGAATTATAGGGGCAAAATATTTTTTTACTTTGGGCAAGACAGATCGAGTTTAAGTTGGAAGGGGTGCAGGTTTTCTCTTTTGGTGACCGTAGTTCAATGACGTGACCACATCACAGTTCAATAATCACAGCAGAATTTCATAAAACATACTTCAATTCAATGTCCAGTGACACTAATTTAAGGAATAGGATCAATAGTTTTTATTACTCTGGGTGAGGTGGAAGCAAGGGAAAGGGGTGAGGGTTTTCAATGGCGCTGAGGTCCATACTTAAAACAGCTTGCATTTTTCATTGCTTGACACTGTTAATAGACCTGATATTAGCCTTTTTTTTTACTAAAACTGTAGCGTTTTCAATACTACTGCATATTCTTCCAGTTTGTCCAGGGGCCCGTTTTTATTGTTCCTTTCATTTGATGCTTGTATCTCGGTTATAATTTTGTAGTTAAAATTTCTAGGAAGAGGGTTGGGGGTTAGTGGTTCTGCAGAACCATCTATACTTATTTTACCGTCCATGCATTTGGCAATTATGTGCTCATTGATAATTATTATATGACCTTGTATGCCTCTGCAACTCCATAGTAGGTCAAAAACTACCCCTTCAGAAGACTTTTGAAGGGAATTTTATGCTACCACAGGTTTGCAAAGAAAGGGACCATGTATAAACAATCACAGGTGTAACAACAATGGTGAATCTGGGTCGATCCCAAGAACTTCATAATACACAGTCTTTCCACCACCAGTTAGCGTTAGGACAATGCAATCATTATTCTCTAAAATGAAATTTGAAACATCCCAACACAATTATTTTTTCAAAAAAGTGTCTAGGGCCACATCTTCTGTCTGGTTAAGTGGTAGTTACGATGGTATCTGATCAACTTCATAAGCCCCCTCCATCGGGGTAACAAAATTGTCTATCAACTTAAAAGCAAAGTTAGCAATGATTTATTTACTAAGACACAAATGATGTGTTCCAAGAGAGCATGGTAAAACCCAATTGGTCTACTGTATAATATCACAAAAACAAAAACCAAAAAAAAAACAATACACACAATAAGTATTTGCTGCACATTCGACACAGCTTCATCATGAAATGAGGTATATAATTAAAAAGTAAGTAGAATTTATTTACACCGGGCTGTGCATTCAGTGACAAGTGTGGTATCCGGTGAGGTAATCGAACAATAAAAAAATACAATTGAAAAAATCTAAAGCTAGTTTGAACGCTTTTTTTACTTTACATGAGCTTACATTGCCCAGCAAATGATACAAAACATGATATCCTGAGACAAACGTTTAAAAATTATTTTATTATCTATTTAATAACATAACTTAGAGGTCTTGAGACTGGACGTGACTAGTTTGTTGCCTTTAATTTCGAGTACTCAAGATATAGTATGCAGCAAGTAGTATTTTAAAGCTTTACAAATATCTCGCTTCATTTGGCTGTTACAACAATTGTCAGTCATTTTTCATTTCGACTGAAAAGATCGTTTCATCACTGGCGATCTTAACAGAAACGATTACTAACTAACTAAGTTAACGTTCCTGACCGGCTGTTACCTTGGTGCGCGCAGCAGTTTCATTAAATTAAATCAAGGCAGTCCGTCCGCGGCTAGTAGTTCTTCGATGACTTTTCGGTAGTAAACATTCTGAGTCTGTTATGATGCTTGAGTCTTTTTGTGTGGGGTAAAAAAGTTGAAAACCGCTTTCCCTTCATACACACGATGTGAATAGGCATGCAATGATTTACTCTAAATTCGCAAAATAAACAGGGCTGAACTTATTTTAAAAATTGCATATTCGTCCGCCATTACTCTTGCCGCCATCGTGAAAACAAGATCTGCCAGACGTCTAGCCTGCGTAGCAAGCGTTTCCGCGCGAGTTCGTCGAGAAAGTTGGGAAGAGAGCAAAAAAAAGGAATGACGGGGAGGGGAGGGGAAAGAAGGAACCGCTTGCCCGCAAACCCCACGATATTCAAAAACTACGTTCGCCCACGAACGCAGCTTCTGATTGGTGTGGTGCTAGTAGTGTTGATTGCTTAGCACTTGAAACATCAATCAAACCAGGTATGCTTTGTTTACGAGCGTCACAGATCTGGTCTCATCTGATTTGTGGTCGCAGATTGCAAATGCTTTGGACTGACATTTATTTCAATCGTGTTTGTGCAAAGGTTTATGAGATCATAGTCTTCAAAGTATATTTGGAGATCGAGCAGTGGAGACTAGGGTAGGCCAATTTATTGGGTATGACGGCGTGCGGATCTGACTTGAAAAAACAAATGTACTATTTGTTGGAGATAACATCAACGTAAATCAGAACATCAGTACTCAACACTAGCTAAAGCCGCCATAGACAAGCGATTTGTTAGATTTTTGAAATGAAAAGATTATTTTTGTTTATTGGAAATTTAGAGGCATGTATTCTAGAGAACGTTTCGACACGGGCTGAAGAGCAGCCGCTCTGCACACAGGCAGCCCAAGCGCACTATTTGTGGGTTCGGGCTTCAGAGGTCATTTGGTCGGAATATACTAGAATTATTAGCGTATTATCTAATGCCAAATAAATGCAAAAAGTCTTAAAGATATGAAGTCTTCTTGTTTTTCTATTGGTACTAGTAGCCTTTAAGATAACGAAAATCGATATTTCTTGCATTATTGCATGTGATTCGGGCACTTATTGTTCGAATTTTATCACATGTATTCGAATCTACAACGCTAAGGAAAAAAAAAAAAATCATGATCACGCGAAATATTGATTCAAAAAGCTCCCTTACCTTTCGTTCATAGCCACTCTGTGTCCTACGGCTGGTTTAAACGCCGTTTAGTCGACTTTCTTTCCATCGAGTACTGAACACTATAAAAGAAGGAAGGCTGGAGACCTTCCAATTGACCCTCGCCGCTCGAAGGCCAATAAATTCCAAACAAAGCGACCGATCTCCCTAAAATTGCCACCAGCCAGACCGAAGAGTGTACACCTACCCGTTCGACGAGCGCCAGGTTCTAAATTCGGCTGCATGAGCTCGAGGATCGTTGCATTTCGCATCGATTCTGGCCAGCTTCGCTTCGCCATGATGCGCAATCTTAACTGTTATCCTACGAGATTCAAATCTTGGAGCTTAACGATGGCGTCAGATGGACAAAACGTCACTCTCGCGGGGGGAGGGTCGTCACTTTTGCCCTATCGCAAACCGACACCGTCCGGCGAGCCGGTGCGTTTAATTCGGCCGGAAACTGCTCTGCAAAACTTATAGCGGACGGAGTGAATTGTTCCGGACAAATCATTGTTGACGTTTCGACAAGGTTTCACGACGAGATAAAGCCACACAATAACAACAACAAGAAATTCCGCAGCAACCTCTCAGAGGTTTACCTTCTTTTGTCGTAAACCTTTTTTATTACAGTTTTTGCAATCGCATGGAACGTGTTCTATTAGAGAACAAAGTAATTTTAGAAGTCTGGCAATCCAGGGGTAATCTGTTCGTTATACTTCTATTTTGACGAGCTGTCAATTTACAAACGAACCGAACCGTGAAATATCAAGGGGCGTTTTTCAGAATCGTGGGGTTTGCGAGCAAGCGTTTCCTCTTCTCCCCTCCCCCTCCCCCTTCCACCTTTTTTTATCGCTTCCGATCTAACTTTCGCGCAATAACTCGATTGGAAACGCTTGCTACGCAGGCTACCAGACGTCTCGCCCGTTTTCTCCTTCCCGCCTTCCTTTGCGCGCACATTTTCATCGAGAGAGAGACGTCTGGGTACCAGGCAGGCCGGTTTCCGACGCCATCTTGACGAGCAGGCAAACGCGTGAGAAATTACAGTATTTGTATGAGAATCTAATGTCGAATAATTTCCGTAGAACGGCTGTTCTGGAAAAGAAAAAAAAAATAATTGTAAACTAAAACTTCACTCCTAAGGATTCTACTGAAAAAATTGAGGACGTTACATGCGCTAGAAGACCTAGAACCACTTTTTTAAATTTTCTATACATTTGTCTGTAAGAAATTCCGGAAAAAATTACAGACAAATATATGGAAAATCTAAAGCAAGCCTCTGGAGAAATTTAAGTACAGGTACGCCCCTAAAATGTTTAAGTACAATCCTTTGCTTTGTAGCTTTAGTTTACAATTGATATTTTTTTCAGAAAAGCCGTTTTACGGAAATTATTCGACATTAGATTCTCACGCATACAAACACTGTAATTTCTCATACGTTTGCCTACTCGTCAAGATGGCGTCGAAAACCGTGACAAGATCTAGAACTTGATACTCAAAATAATCATCCTTTTCGAAATCTCAGCCTCGGGTTTATTCTTAAAATATTCTTAAAATTTTGCAAATTTCAGGCTCGGTATTCTTATAAAATATAGTTTTATAGAAAAAAAAAAGAGTGTATATCTGTAATTCAGTTAAAACAAGGTTTTGACCATGAAATCATACATTTACTTTTAGTTTCATGTGGTTCAATAGCTCGTCTGTCGTATGAATATAACATGACACTGAAAAGTCCTACGTACTGTGATCGAACTTGATGCGTAGTGAGTTTTTTTTCGCAAATCCAACTCGAAATCCATATCGAATCCTAACTCGAAAATCCAACTCGAATCCTAACTCGAAAATCTAATTCGAAAAACCAACTCAAAATCTTTGCTCGGAAATAGGTATTCTCCTCTCCAATGACAGATCCATGACAGTTCTTGAATTCATTGTTATAGCTGATTTCTTCCCATTTACTTCAGCTATTATACTTTCATTACAATGCCACCATACCAGCAACCAAATAACGACGGCTCTTGTTTCTTTTCAGTACTTTGTCCAAGAGGTTGGCTTTCAAGTTTTCATGGCGGATGTTTCAAAGTCCATTCCAATCCCCTGGACTGGAACTCAGCAAAATCCGCGTGTGAAGCACTAGAATCAAGCCTTGCCTTACCGAATTCGAAAGCTAAATCACGAGAATTTCTTCAGTTGTTCAACGGTGCAGGTGCGAGCAACGACTTGTGGATTGGTTTATACAGGGATCCCAAAAACGAGCGACGATGGCTATGGGTCGATGGGTCAACCGCTTATTTCACTTTCTGGCATACTGGAGAACCAAACAATCTTGGTAACGAGGATTGTGTCGAATTTAGAATGAAATCAGGGAAATGGAAATGGAATGATATAGCATGTGGTAACCATCGTCCTTACATTTGTGAAATCAATGGTAAGTACAACATCCTTCATGAACAGATATACAATTGATGGTTTGAAACTGGTTTTAAGCCCAGGGGGTGCTCAACAAATGTTTATACGGAGAGGCTCCGTCCCCGAGTTTTCACGAAAAAGTTACCCCTTTCGTATACTTTCTATTGACAAATCGTACATCTTTACATCTGTTTAGAACTTTGCATCCCTTTTAACTGCTGTAAATGCACCGTCTGTTAAATAGGAATCAATCACAAAAATAGTACGTTTACTCCACCTGTCAAAGCCATAAAATTCATCTGTTAGCCCCTTTGGGCCCTTTTACAGACCCAAATGACAGATTTCCCTACCCTTTCATATACTTCTACAAGTAAAATCCCTACCGTTTTGTATAGCTGAAGCCTGAAAAAGGTACCCCTTAAGAGTGGAGCCTCCCCGTATAGGCTATCATAGGGAGTATGCCCCCCGGGGTCTTAAGACAAGACATAGGGCTTCAGGTCGCCCATATTTACTCTGGCCTGGGATGTTCTGGTTGCTGCGGTAGGTGATATTATCACCATGTAGGGTTGAGATACAGAGTGGAATATAACATCACCGCGCTTTAATTGTGGATGTGCACTGTGGCAATTTGTAATAATCATCGCGCTTTGTAATGCCTTTTTAGATTTCGTGTTCAATAATAGATCACAGTGGTAAAAACAGCAAAGAGGCACATGCACGAGACTCAGACGAATAAATCACTGATGTTTTTACCACATTTTGACGCATTCTTTGATCTCAGTATTACTGAACAGACCCATTGCAACATGGAATCTGTTTGTTTTATACAATGATCAGAAAAGAAAAAAACCACAAACTAATGCCTCGTAACGCTTGACTGTTCGAGGATTTGTAGACGTGTCCAGCTAAAGCATTTTCGTAGTCACAAACTGTTCTTTTAGTCTATGCTTCCTATTTTCCGATGTAATCTCACCACTATATAGTTTATCCCAAAAGTCTGTCAAGGCCTCCATTTGCTCAAAGCAGAATAATCGCGGAGACATTTCGAAACTGCGAGTCTGTTGCAGCAATGCCACACGATGGCAGACTTTTGTGAAGATTTCTTCCAGTTTAGGCATGTTCAAGTCGTCAAGACCTGTTTTTGTCTCGGTTTGTCCGTTTTTCCATCGGCCGTTTTTATACTAAGGACGCATTATCCGTCTGGACGAACTTGGGCAAACATTTTTGTAGTTTGTCTGTTTAAGCGTCTTTAGCATAAAGACGGGCACAAGACGGATGCACTACGCATCCAGACTAACTACCTTTCGTAGTGCGTCTTTCAAGACGTATTTCGAAGGAAAGTTCGTCCAGGCGCATAATGCGTCTTGTGCCCGTCCGGACTTTAGACGCATAACCAGACGAACAATAAAATGTTTTCCCAAGTTGGTGAAGACGGATAATGCGTCCTCTAGTATAAAAACGGCCAATCTTTAGTTATCACACTCTCTTGCTATGAGATTCACTTTTGAGGCTCTTTTATGACACTTATCGTGACATATCGCCTCGTTGTTATCATCCGATTCCGTTTTTATTGTCGTACCATTCATAAAAATATCGTGTCTTGGCTGCTTTGTTTGTTACTATTTTCCAGGGGCTACCAGAAATTTTTATAAGAAGCGCTATCAAGGTTTAGCATGCTTATTTTGTGATACACATTCACTTAGGGTGTGTTCCTTTCGGTGAATCCAAAAACGGATTTAAGATCTAAGAGCGGATTTCGCGTTCCTTTCGGCAAATCCAAATCCGGATTTTTAATCTGGTGAATCCTTTTTGAAAAAGGATTCATTGGATTTGAAATCCGAAGAATCCAAATCCAGATTAACGGATTAGTGATCTACGCTGTTCCATTCACAGTGGATTCGAAATTAGTCAGATGATCCAGCGGTATTTCCAGGTGAAGTATTCCCATAGAGGCCGTAGAGTTTCCTCGTTGCTGTCATTTGCCGTAAAACATCTGAAAACATTAGAAGATTGTTCCTGGTACATTAAAATATCCATATACTAATCATTTGTCTCTAAAGATTGCTTGAAATCAGAAATAAGTAAGAGTAACAAATGAACTGCTATCTAACTACAAACTCGCTTGTAAACGCGACAGGCACTCGATCGTGTTACATAAAAGAATCCGAGCTATGGAACTGGATCAAACTGGCTGACATTCTTTAGATAATTTTCAATTTTAATGGGCTTCTTTCTTTGTCTGTTTTATATGTTCCATCGTCGCTATTCGAACTGCCGACCACTGAATTCCGCACGGTATAATCGCATAATTTGTCAAACAGTAGAAAACACGTCATTTTTTGAGAGGCTGTCGTGCATATTGCACGCGTTGGCGAAAGGTTACCAAGGTTACAAATCCAATTTCGGATTTCACGTTCCTTTCGACCGCGAAATCTGGCAAATCTAGGATCAAAAATCCGTTTTTGGATTCGCCGAAAGGAACACACCCTTAATGAGTTTATGACCACCATGGATGAACTAGGAATTACTGTTACTTACTGTTAATGTTAAAATGACTGTAAAATGGAAACAGAGTGGGTTCCACTAAAATATCAGCAACAGAAACTCAAGCGATGAAGTTTTATTGTAAAGGTAATTTACTTTAGTGTGCAGAGAAACGACATTTTTTTTGCATCAATTCAACTTCATGATGCGGCGAGACGACTTTACTTCTTTGCAGCGAATCGATTTCATTATGCAGCGAATTGTAGCGAAACGACTGTCCACCACTTAGAAACCCAACAGCTAGTGTCGATTTCTTCTTCTTCTTCTTCTTATGATTATGATTATGATTATTATTATCATTATTATCAATATTATTATTATTATTATTATTATTATTATTATTATTTTCGCAACTGCAAAAGTTGCCTCTATAACTGCGATGATTTACTTTCATATAATTCTTCACCCCGCAGTTCACATACGTGATTTGCGTATATTCGTAACTTCATCATCATCCTTTCACGGGTTTATAACGAATCAATTCAATGACCTACTCCCAGTTGGCTTGTTAGCTCAGTGGGTAAGAGCGCGGCACCGGTCTCGCAGAGGTCCTGGGTTTGGATCAAGTACAAGTCTGAATGTTTTTTTCAGGCTTTCTTTTCGCAACTGCAAAAAGTTGCGTCTATAACTGCGATGATCTACTTTCATATAATTCTTTCACCCCCCAGTTCACATATTTTCATACATTCATAAATTCAAAGGTAAGCTATCTTCCCTCTAATGCTCTCTCTAGTGTGTCATTACGATCCTTACATGAAAATTTATTCTCGCTGTCTATTCGCCCCTGAATTTATCGCCTGACATAATTCAGAAAAAAAGTAATAACGCTGCTCACACTACATTTCTTTAGAACCATTGATACTGTTTTGGCCTATAAAGTTACCGCTTAGTTGAGCCGGAAAGAAATGAGTCCTCCCAACAGGAGTCGACCTTCTGGTGACTTTTCCAGATGCTCTAACACACGGGAAACTCGTAAGAGTTAAAAACAGTAGACTGGGTTCATTTAGGAGCCTGGTTTATTTGAAGAGGTTCTTTCCGGCCAGAGGTCCACCTCTAAATTTTGCGTTTTGGAAGTATTGAGTGCGTGGAAAGGGGACAGGGGGTCTAAACCTCCCGTCTCCCGTACCTTGCATATCCGGCTTCCTCCTTTTTTTTTCTTAGCTTCTTCCCTTTAGCTATTTTTCGATTGCGTAATATTAAGCATTGTTCAGTAATTTCCAACTATTTCTTTTGCCTCTGTACCTTTTTTCTCCCGCCTCCCCCACCCCTTTCGCCCCTTTTCTCCCGTGTTCCAACCCCACTATCCTTCCCCACAAGTGTAAGCAGCCTAAAGCATGTAAAGATATTCGTTAAGGGAAACCAGGGAAGTGAACGGAAGCTGTAGACAGTCAGTGGATGGTGGAATTTATTATATTCAGAAAGAATATAGCTGGAGCTGTCAGCTCTTAAATCTTTTTACGGTGAGAAATCAAGTTTACGATCTCCGTCGATAAAACTAACTCCCCCCCCCCTCCCCCACGCCAAAACCTCTGCGGCGCCAAATTTCCGAGTAAACCTTGCGATATTAAAAAGGGCGTGTTTTTTTTTCTCGAGGGAGCGCGAAAATCACCTAAAAGTCGCCTCCAAAGGAAAAAAAGGGACAAGGACCGCCTTATCACTAGTTATTTCCGAGTTAAACTACTCAACCGGGTCCTTAATTTCTAAGTTGTAAGTTAGAAACTAAGAAAAATCTTGGAGTGGGAAAGTACAGGCGCGCTTATTTTGAAACACTTCGAAATGACCGACGTGATATTAAATCAGCAGTGCACGAAAAATTTTTAGATTAACACCAAATATTTGCTTGAGGCAAATATGATGCAAAGAAGTGCAAACTGCAGGGTAGGAGGAAATCAGGGTGAGGGTAAATACCGCAACTGAATCCTAGTGTACAACATACGGTTGCAAATTCAGGGGCAAATGCGGTATTTACCAACTTTGCCCCTAATATAATTTCCTCCTAGTTTGTACTTTTCAGTATTATGTTTGCCCTGAGCAAGTTTGGTGCAAATCTTATTTTATGCGAGGTGATGAAATATTTAGAAACTTGACAGGATTTTAAAGTGCAAAGATGTATCTCAAATCTGAATTTAGTGCCTAATCTGTAAGCATAATAGGGAATCAGCGCAGTCATAAACTCAATTGAAGAAATTACAATCCTGACCTCAATTTTTATATAATTATCTTTTATAGGTTGCCCTTTAAATTGGGTTTCATACCAATTTACTTGCTATAAATTATCCTCCAGTACCCTGGAATGGATCGCGGCAAAATATGTTTGTGAAGCACTCGGATCTAATCTCGCAATATTGGATTCGCCAGATGAACAGCAAGAGGTTCGCTGGGGAGTACGGACATGGATTGGTTTGCACCGTGACTCAAGTAATAAGTCACGCTGGCAATGGATTGATAGCTCGTTAGCGGTTCGACTAAACTTTTTTCCTAACAACCCAGACAACTCGGGAGGCACAGAAGATTGCGTAGAAATGTATCCGTCAAGGAAATGGAATGACTTGAACTGTAATAAGCCTCTTCATTATTCTTGTGAAGTGTCCTCGGGTAGGTCACGTTAGTTATTTTCGGACAACAAGAAATGAAATAGTTTTATATTCAAAGAGACGTATCTCAAATGTTTACTGGCATTTTTTTTTAAAGAAAAGTCACAATGGTGTAGATTGAAATAATAATAGCTCCTACAAGACTAGCCTAGTATTTTATATTTGATATTATTATATAGACACGAGTGTTTTACTGGAAAATATACTTCTCGTAAAATTCATAAAAACTACATCTGGGACCCGTGTGGTTTATTTTCCATAATCTCACACGTGAGTTTATCGATGACGTAATTTTGGTAATTTCCCTCTATTATTTTATCGATGTCGTTTTGTCTATATAATAAAAAGAACATTACAGGGCGGCTTGAAGATATGAATTTATTTTCTCCTGGCAAAAACAATATTTTACTCACCTCGCTGCCCTCGTTCGTTAAATATTGTTTTGCCACTCGAAAATAATATTCATATCTTCGCGCCTCCATGTAATATCCTCTATGTAACTAATGCTATACACTCGTGTAGCGCATTTTCAAAAGTTACTTTTTAGTAAGGGGGCTTACCTACCTATTTATATTTTCTACAAACACACACACACAAACTCTTTATTGTCATTAAGTCGCTGTTATTCGTCTGCGGTAATTGCCCAATAGCGGTTTTCTGGAGGATTGGATAATATTTTACCAGATTTGTGACACGATTGCATGACGGTTTTATGTTCGATTCTGCAGTAAACACAGCCTCGTTCCCTGGGTCTTCTCCTGCTCTCCGGAATTCGAATAAGAGAGACGCTCCGGAGAAAGAGTAGAATAGGACCCTGAAACTAGGTTGCAGCAAACTAACTTGAAGGCGAATCGCGAATTTAACTGAAATCAAGGACACAAATAACTCCTCTGCGAAAAAGTATGTTGCTAAAACGTCCTTACGTCCACGAGCACAAGGCTGGTGACCGCATGGTCGGGCAGGCAGCGAAAAGAAAAGAGTGATTTTTTTTTCTTTTTTTGGTTGGAAGAAGTTTCATTCCATTGTGTTGAGTATTCTAATGAATTTGAATTAAAAAGACAACAAATGAGAAGAAAAAAAAACAGCAACAACAAAAAACAGAAATTTCAATTAATGAAGAGCCTAAATTGAGGATCAAGTCCCAGATAACAGTTAATTATTATTGCGTTAGACAAAAGCAAAACGCGGTTATAAACGTTTTGACACATTTAAAGGTCTAAGTGAACTACTATTAGTGTCGTGATTGTTTATCTCCTTTAATTTTTAAACTTTCTTTATATCTCCTCTTTTAAAGGATTTACGTGCCGAAAACTCTCCTCCTTAAATGAGGTACAAATTTTGCCCGACAGTTGTGTTTTATACAATCAAAGATACCACTCAATTTGCTCATTTTCCTGCGTTAATGGAAAACAAATTAGTGGCCCCTCATCTGTTCGGTGCGGAATAAGAGGATACTGGAGCGAGGAAGTGAACGAAGTCAGTTGTAATGGTTCGTATAATTCTAATTTTTGTTTCTTACTTCTTTTTACCCTTGTTTTCTCTTGATGTTCCATGCAGCGTTACAAAAATAATGGTGAGGATGTTGTAAAGGAATTTGAAAGGGGCCGGTCGTTTATTACGTCCCGGGGGAGGGGGGGTGCTCAGAAAAGTTTGGTGTATCAAAACTTTACCCCCCAAAATAATTACATATGAAATTTGTACCCCCCCACCCCTGGCAAAAGCGATTTTTAAAATGCGCACCCCCACCCTCCAACCCCTTCTAGATCAAGTCTCTTCTTCCATCCTTGGGCATTGATTTCACTAGCTATAAGATACAAGTAGTTGGCAGCGTAGCGTGAGATTTTGAAGGTTCACGCGGGGGAAGAAAAGTTATAGCGCCGAAGACGCCCCAAACCTGGGGCAGTCTGGTGGCATGCTCCCCCAGCAGAAAATTTTTCAATTTGGGGTCTCGGAAATGCCATCTGTTGCGTTTTCTGCAGGACATTTTCAGTAAATAAAGACGAGGGAAAATGCAGTCATTAGTTGTTTATTTTACCCATCTGTCTCTAGTGTTATCGGTAATCCTACGGACTGATTACGGCATCAAGGTCGTTACAAGCAAAGGGCGAGATGTGTACCCTTCAGACGCGCAAACTCTGTTATGATGCCATCAATATCAGTGGCGGATCCTGGGGAGGGGCCATCGGGGGCCCGGGCCCCCTTTTTTCGACCAAAATGAGACCCGAACCCTCCCCTCCTCCCCCTCCCCGCCTTATCTGAAGGTCTGGATCCGCCACTGAATATCAATTACGTCCTTGTGCTTGTGTATATGCAGAATTGCAAGAGAGCTCAATCTCTCGTCTGTCATGGTCTTTCGTAAAGGAGTCTGCCGGTCTCTTCATACCGCAAAAGCTACGCTCAGGTGTGCACAGGATAAGTCAACAAAGTTATGAGAGCTACATTATACTCCGGGATAGAATAGTAGAGTTGGCTTGGTCAAAAGTCTCAACCAAGGTCTGTGGCTTCAAATTCGGATCCATTAAACTCCACTTAACCAGTAAAAGGATAAAGGAAATCCTAAGACAATTATCCCAATTTAATGAAAAAAATGGTTTCAGGAGATAAAAAAAAAAAAAATCTATATACAGATTTCAGCTGTATGCATAGGCATATGTGCGTACATGCACGCTACATTCCTGGAAGTAGAAATAGCTGATAGCTGGTTTCTGAGCCAAGCTTTATACGGGTAACATTTTGTTGTTGACAAAGAACCGCCGAAGCAAATTTTTTTGTCTACTTTTGAAGGAAACGTGGATTTGCTTTAATCATAATATAGTCTGACAACTTTTACATAGAAAGCCAGTCCTGTATCTTAATATTTCGACCCCCCTCACATTTTATGCATTTTCAAAATAATTGACCCCCCAAAATCAAGCCTCTTAGAAAATTGTACCCCCCATCAACCGCCGCCACCCCCGAGACGTAATAAGCGATCGGCCCCTTAAAGCGCGAAGTCACCGGTTAATATTGGTCCAAAGAGGAACGAGCTAGGGGTAATGTTACCCAGTACTTTATTAATAAACAAGTATATGAAATTATTTTTCATCACAGGAAACAAAACACTTCCGATCTGCATCCAAGTATATGTAACAATGCCCGGTGCAGTCAGGCCATAGAATCGACGTGGAACATGTTAACTCATTATCAAATTTTTAGAAATAGCTTTTTTTGGCTTTTTCAGAAGGCGCTAAAATTGTCAGAGAAAGAAGGCATCTATCATTTCCCTCCACACATATCTGAGAGTTTTAGGTGCAGCCTCAATGAAAACTACGATTAGAAATTAGAACAATTGGATTAAAGGGTCTAGTTTTATCGTTTGTCGCACGATTGTCACTTTGCTATTGATCACGACGTTTCGACCGCACACTGCAGGTCTTCATCAGGCGATAGTATCGATTTACTGAGTCGAACTTTTTGTACCACCATGGTTGTTAGTGATTTGTGTATCACGAAACAACAATTTGCAAGACGTCACGTCCGCCATATTGGTTTGTCAACACGATCAAACGGCGGCCATGTTGGTGTGACAAACCAATCCTGTGGGAGTTGAATTTTTTTCTTAGGTTAAAACTTTCTATTGTTTCAATTTGCATAGCCGCTGGCCACGTAGGTGAAAAGTATAACGCTCTATACCAAAACATTGTGAACAGTAAAAACGTCGCCCCGACGATTTTTTTTTGTCAGACCCAGTTCAAACGTGGAACTTTTCATTACCGATCCAAATCCTTCAGTTAAATACAAGAAAAAGATTGACTTTTGAATCAATCAAGTTCGATATATCTAATTTGGATCGAACCATAAATTAATTCGAACGGCGGACATGAGAGTTTCGACTTATAGGAGCGACTTCGTTTCAAACGTCGACTGACTTTTCATGTGCCGAACCTAATGCATAAATTACTATTAATAATTTATTTTCACTGGTAAATGTTGTAGACCATGTACATTTTGAAAATGAATTGAGTCCGACTAATTAAGTTCGACTAATTAATAGGGTCGGCCCAAATGGCTATTAGTCCTCTTCTTTCCCATTCGTCCTCAGTGAAAGATCCTTTTAAACATTTTAATGTATTTGTGTCACAACTCTTAAATAAAGCATGGCGACTTTTATGGAATTTTCATTGACAGAACCACATCCATTGATTTCCAAGTAGCACTCAATCTTTGTGGTATTACCTTTTACTTTCTTTTGTTATTTAGAATGTCAAGAGGCTCTGGGTATGGAGAAAGGAGCGATCTCTGACGGACAGATTATTGCTTCGTCACACCTTGATGCCAACCATGAAGCCAGCCAGGGTAGACTGAACTTGAAAGGATCGTGGTCAGCTTTCGCTAATGACGCTGAGCAATGGCTACAGATTGATTTAGGTACCAATCCTGTCACTGTCACACGGGTGGCAACGCAAGGAATTAATTTCCAGAGCCAGTGGGTAATAAATTACACGCTGAAATATAGCGACGACGGTCTGAATTTCCAGTTGTACAAACAACAGGGACAAAGTGAACACAAGGTTAGACACCCGGCACTGCAGACATTTATATTGTGCGGAGTATGTTACTTTTTTAATGAAGTGATTGTTGCTTGTCAAAAAAAAATTAGTAGATACAGCAAATAGCTGACCCGGCAAGGAAACAAAATAGAGTTCAGTAATCTGTTTCACTGAATGTAACCCTTAAACCCAAAAAAGTTATTATCAAAGTAATCATCTTGTGAGTTTCGAGATCTTATGCATCGGTAGCCTGAATTTCATCCGATTGCTTCGAGTCGTTTTCTCCTCTCAGCAGCTTCTGAATCGACCAGCCGTTAATGCTGTCCAGTGACGTCACTATGCTACCCGAGAACAGGGTAGTGATTTTGATTGATTGATTGTCTAAACATTCGCATAATTTATGTATAATTATGAGAAATTTTAGCGAGATTGTCGCTTATTCCGGGTATTCAGCGGATCGCATTGGTGGATTAACGCTTGCTTGGAGTTCAAACATTTCGATAATCTTTATCTGTAGTGCGCGATTCATTCAACCAAAACTCCGACCGGTCCGACCGGGAAAAGTGGTCCACCTCAAAAGGTGGACCTGTCTTTTCGAAACTTTTCTGGTTGGACCAAATCGATCCATTGAGTTTTGGACCCAAATTTCCGGAAATTTCGGTTGAATGGATCGCGCCCGTAAACAGCAAAATTGCCCTGGCTTGTCTTCGAAACTTAATTGCTAAATTGAACTGCGAATGAAGAATCATTGCGGAGAGTCGGTAGGTTTTTCATTTAGAGCCGCTTTGTGGTTTCGGCAGTGATTTTGTTTATGAGAAGTTTCTGAGACCAATATCATGTTGTCATTCGGTCTTCTTGCTATTTTCACCGTCAAGTGTAATGATTCTGTTAGCTTTTCTATCTTGTTTCCTTGTTTTCTTTTTTATTCGTTAAGGACAAAATAGCTTCTTTTCAATTAAAGGGAATTGTTGTGTTTTTTAACTAAGTGTTCCGTGTGTGTATTTATTTCATTGCGTGATTGCGACCGAGTTTGAATTACAACTGGTTCAGAGTACTGCATGCAGTTGATAGTTTGTACGTTACATGAATTACCTTCGAAAAAAGTAAAGCAATTCTGTCAGCTGTTCTGTATCATGTAGACATTTCCAAACGATATTTCTTGGTTTGCCACTTGAAAATCGTGTTTTACTTTTTGCCTTAATTACAGCAAAGGAGTAGTGACGTCACTGGTCGACATTAACGGCCGGTTCTTTTCAGACGTCACTGAGGGAGTAATAACGACTCGAAGTAATCGGATGAAATTCAGGCTAGTGCATTGGTTACCCCTTCATTGGTAAAGTGTACTTTGATCTTCGTCATTCGTCACCATACTTAATCTCCTCATTCAACTCCCTCTGAGGAGTCAGTCGGGGTGAGTGGGGCTGAAAAAAGTTTCCAGCACCGAGCAAACAAGATGATGGGTATCATTTGGGGTCGAGGATAATTTGTGGTCCATTTTAGCCATCCTTTTCCTTTTGGGTTGTCGTGGTCGGGGCTCATTTGCGGTACTGTACAGTTCCCCAAAATAATTTTGAATTTCACTCTGTTTTCTAAAGGAAATTTTAATTAACATGTTCCCGAAAATTCAATGTTGTCAGCTTTCCGGAGTTTCAAGCAAATAGAGTTGTAATTGGGGTCAGGCCTAACCTGTTGCAGAACCTGAAAAGGTATCCGGGCAAAGCGTAAAGAAAAAATAGTCAGCAGTTCTTTGGAGGGAAGAAAACGACCTCAGGCCCCAGTCTACTCGCAACCAAGTAACAACCAACTGCAAAAGACCAGAGAAGCAGCAAAATTGTCGAACAATAGAAGTCTAAAAGCAAACGTTTATTAAAATGATATTATTTTCAACTAGAAAATCAATGTCCCCCTGTTACTGGAAAGACTCAGCCGTTAACCTGTTCCCTAGACGCCATTTCAGGATACCTCTTCAGTTTTTTCTAGAAGTAAATGGTCAAGGTCTCTTGTTCCCCAAAACCTCTGCCAGATACTCAAATTTCATGTTCATAGTGTTTGTTTTAAAAACAATCCTATTTGCATCTCCAGATACTATTATTAACAGCTTTCGTCAGTATTAGAGCTTACGTCTAGGTGTGCAGGGACCAAGGGTGTTATGAAATTCAGTGCCTAGCGACAGAAAATGTCACCCTCCGATTGTGAATAGCAGTCAAATGGAGCCAAAACCGCTACTAATTGTCCATCTAACTACTGTTTTTGTTTTGTTCTGGTTTTTTTTTTTTGGTGTGCTTCAGGTGTTTGTTGGCAACACAGACGAGAATACTACCGTTTATAACGAACTCAATGAACCGATTGTAGCACGCTACACACGTTTTCAACCAACAGCTTGGCATAACCACATATCAATGAGGGTGGAACTATATGGCTGCAAAGGTACTTTTCGTTGGTAACATCCTTCTTTTGTGGAATTCGGAAAAAATACAAACAAATTCTTGTTTAATTTATCACTTTTGGCGGCCTTTACTACTTTACTGCTAATATTAATATTTACATTTACCGTCATGGCGTTTCGTGACCGCTAAAGAAACCTATTGAAGAAACCTTTAATTCTGATACTTTGACTTCGGCGTGACTTCATAGAATGCCCAAGATAGAAAAGAAGGAATTCATGACTCAAGTTGTTCCTATGCATTGTGGAGACCCTTTGGGAAAACAACAAACAATAACAAACACACAAAAATAAAGTTCAGACGAAGTAAGAGATATTTCATTTCACAGCTTTGTTATGGAGCGTTGCTCTCAGAAGCGTTGAGTCTCGCTTGCTTGGAGATAAGATAACAAATGAGGAGGCGATTAGACCGCAAGCGGTCGTCCTTCTTTCCTAAGGGCCACGCTCGGCGAGCAAAAAAGTGAAATTATGCTCTCGACCTACTATGACTTAAAAGAAAAATAAGAGACTGCTCACAGTCTAGGAGGCAATTAATTCTGCAAGAAACAGGATTTAGCGACGACCGGAAATACGTTGGCGGTGGCAGGCTATACGCGTGTATAAATTACACGAAAATCAAGGGCCTTGATTCGGGGAAAATTACATCATTGCCAAACAGCCGAAAATTAACCGTATTCTCACCAAAAGACTCATTTGCATACAATGAAAGTTTACAACACCCAACATCCTAATCCCCAGGGCTCTTCCCTCAAAAAATGGGTGGGGTCGGGAAAAGGCCCTGCATCGGCTGGTCACGTGTCCCCTCGTACACCCTAAAATCCTGGGTGTAATAAATTAGCGCTATGTAAAAAGCTAAAATTATGCGTAACCTCAAAGCGCGCGATCTTGGGCGACCTTTTATATCCTTGACGACTAACGAAAAGTTTTACAAGCTTTCCTTTTTGTCACAGATACTGGCTATGGTAATTTTTTGCTTTCCTCCGATTTCTATGAAGGGGAAAGCGAGTAACATTTGTAAAACTTCCGCTTATAGAGCGGTATAAATGACAAACAAGCTATCGTACATGCATAAAGGTTGTACTGGGAAAGTCCGCTTTCTCGACTCTTCTGACATTTTATTTCATTTCTTGCGAAGTGGGCTGCCGTACACAGCCTAGTTCTATTCACCTTAACTCTCGGCCATATCATAGCGACACTCGTTGGTTTAGACTTATCCTGTATGACCCGTATTTTAAAAAAATTCATTGACCTCTGCGATCAAACGACTGACCAACAAAGAAAGACTTGGGTCCATTTAAAATCGATGAGAGCTCTAGTTGATTCCAATCGATCAATCAATCTTCCCTTTAATATGAGGAAAATCCTTTGTACTTATCCTCGAAAGAGAAAATATATAAGAGGTCTTCAAATGTTTCAGACAGGCGACCTGTTATCGTCCCTGGCAGGAGGGCTGACTTGCATCCGGCGCGGAGATTTGTTTGTTTCATGGTCCGTTTGTAGAGAAGACCAGACTCCATAAAGCATTTTGATGAACAATTTTATTTCAATTAAGTTCAACTTTTTTAAACTCACTGCGGATCCCGGAGGCAAAGGCCCACATTTTTGTTTGCCATTGGACAAAATCACTTTCCGCTTGATCGTACAGTAATTCCACAGTCACGATGAAGTTCAGATGAAGTACTAGTTGATAACAGCTTGTCTCAACTCTGAAGCATCTGGCATATTTTGTACGTGACAACGTTTAGCCGGTACGCCCTTTCATAAACTTCTAGCATTTGAATAATGCGCAGTTAAATGGATCTTAAGCTTTTGAATCGCACACACGCGAAAAATTGACATTTGACAAAGAAAAAAATTGACACAGTTCGTGATGTTATTATTTTCCATTGTTACTCCCTTCTGTCAGCGCAAAACCAGCGGGTTGCATATAAATTAGCTTCTCAGGAATATTTAGGCTGTACACGTGACCAGCCGATGCCAGGGCCTTTTCCCGCCCCACCCATTTTTTGAGAGAAAAGCCCTGGGGACGAGGTTGAACACCCAAACCAGTTAGCCTCACCATCAAAGTTTTGCTAATTAATTTTTATTTTTTTCGACCATTGAAGTGTTCACTTTTTCTAAAGTAATCAACGCTTTCAAGAAATAGAATTCGTGGACCTACTCGTTCCGGAAAAGCTCTAAGCCGCATTAATCTTTCCTAAGCTTTCTTCGCAAAACATGCATGGCTTCGGTTACACAACCGTTCTTATTTCCAGTTTCCAAGGTCTCCGCTAGGAACGCCTGGGAACATGATCTCCCTTTTGTGTCCTGAATACGAAGGAAAAAAAACGGCTTGCACATCTTATGAGTCTCGCTGCTTGCGCAAGCGAGACTAAAAAGCGTGCTGCACGTGCAAAGCTGTTGTCCTGCCAATAAGAAATGGTAAACGTGCAGCGTGCAACCGAAGGCAAATGGAAAATAATGTTTTTCTCTTTTGATTATGTTACAAAAGAAATGGTAAATGTTGCAGCTGTGCAACCATGGAGTTATGGAGGCACGCGGGAGGTTGCTAAGCACGAAAGAAGCGTAAGAGTCGCACGAGGCGATAGCCGAGAGCGATTCTAGCTTCTTGAGTGCTTAGCAAACCTCCCAAGTGCATCCATAACTCCATGGTTGCACAGCTGCAACATTTACCATTCCTTTTGTAACATAATCAAAAGAGAAAAACATTATTTTCCATTTGCCTTCGGTTGAGTCATCGGTCCGCGTTGATGTATGCTGCCGTCTACCCGCGCGTAAACAAATCTTGTTCTACGTTTTTCAAAAACTTGCCTTTGAGTTTTTCTTTCGCTGAATCAACCGTTCTCCGTCTTCAGGTAAATTGCAAAACCTTTTGTGTTGTTATTCCCTTGGCATCTGTTTACTTGCTCTTAATATTAGGGTAAAAACTTTGAGGGAAAACTACAGCTACAACTATAAACACCAGCTAAAGCGACTCTAAAAAATAAGCTAAAACTAAATAAATGACATAATTATCAAGCTTATTTATGTGACAATTTTGAAATAAACGTAAAGTAGAAATGAGAAAATTTGACTGTAATTCCTTTAGAATAACAACTAACATCAATTTTAAAAAGAAATTAACTAGCTTTGTATCGAAAGCTATGAAAGTCAAAGTTGCATCCGTGAAATTCGCCGACAAACAGCCGGCGCTGAAGTTGTTGTTTTTCGACCGTTCTCTGAACGACTGTTATGAATGGACACTGAGGAACAAAATAATACACACAGAAGTTATTTTTTGAAAAAAAATTATTTGAAAACCCAAATGTTTCTTTACTCAAATGAAATTCGCTTATTTCAGCTTAATGTGCCCTTTTAATAAACTCAACTAAAATTTTTAATCGATGCGATGAAAACTTCACAACAAAGCTGTCTCGAATTTGAGATTGTTTCCTAAAATATTTGCTTGAATTTAGCATCAGCTTGACCAAAAAGTCAATAACACAATGCTAATTGATAAATTTACATTTCAAACAGACTTTCTCTTCCATAAAAAACACAAAATGTACCTTAAATCTTCGCTCGCTCGATTTTCCCTCAGCCGATTCTAGCCGCGAGGAAAACAGTGCTGCTTAATTCATCCAGGGCAAATTTGTCGCTTGATCTTTTGTCTTTTTTACTTCAAAACGACAGCTAAGTATTTTCTTTAACTTCCACTTTTCATCTGTGCATTTCATCTGTGTATTTTACCGTCAGGAGAGGAGATTTGTTGAATTTGCTCAAATTTTACCGCGCCAGCTCAGTTTCTTGGCGTGCACCCACGGGCAAATGGTAGTGGCTAACTGACCAATCAGAGCGCGCGATTTACTTTTGTTATGTTATAAAATCCTTTTGCTTCTTTGCCCCACTCGTTGCTTTTTTTGCGTAACCGAGAAAAGTCAGCCATTGTTCTTGTTGTTGTAATTATTCCGTTTTATACTCCCCGAAGCATTAAGAGGAATAATGAAAAAAAATGATAATTATAATAAAAGATTACACGCGATTCTACGTATTCGTATCCCAGAATAAGGTTGATCGAAGAATCCTAAACAGGTACCCTAAACCTTCCACTCCTTACTCAATGTACAGTAAATTGTACTTACATCTTCAATAAAAACGTCATTCGTAGGATGTTAAACATGTTGAATTTACACTGTGACCACTGGGCCTTAAAAACTGGTTTCTTGTGTGTAAAGAATTGCGTACCTTCTTGATAAGTCGGCCAAGTAAATTGCTTGTTAAGGCCTAGGGTGAAGCTGTTCCTGTTAACACTATTCCGAGCTGGCGGCCCAGCCAATATAATGTCCCCCTTAAAATCGCCAGCACAAGTAGTATGAATATAACAACGTGAATTCTTTAGGTCTGATTCATTATATTTCCTATTGAAGAAACCTTTAAGCTTGATACTTTGGCTTCGGCGTGACTTCATAGAACTGGCCCAAGATAGAAAATAAGGAATCAATGACACACGTCGTTCCTATGCATTGTGGGGATTCTTTGGGAAAACAATAAATAACAAACAAGCAAAAACAAAGTTCAGACGAACTAAGAATTGTTTCATCTCAAAGCTTTGCTGTTGAGCGTATACATGCCTTTTTTCGGTCTCAGTTAAAGAGTCCTAAGCTTACGTAAAATGCTTATGGTTCTAAACATTATGAACGGAAACGGAAGACCGAAGCATAATGAAATCAGAGTAGCTTATTATTACGGGTTTGTTTGATATCCCCATATATTTTTACTGTTGGAATGAACTTGTACGTTTTGTTAGGAAAACCCGTATACCGCCGCTGGTTTCTAGATGGCAATGATCCAGATGTGAGGTTAGTGGGGTTATACGTCTCTAGTTTGTTCAATGTTGGGGGCGAGGCGAGGGGGGGTTGGGGGGTGGGGGGCGGAGGCTTGGCTTTTTATGCCTTACCCCTACTTTCGTATTTCAAAAGATTTTATACGACAACGACTTCCCTTCTTAGTTCTCTCTAACTCTTAAATAAATTTTCAGATTAACCATTGTCTCTTTCATGATGACATCCAGGTTTCAGCATCGCCACAAAACTTATGCAGTTGCATTTCTGACTGCTGCAGGTGGCATTACACTCATAGCGTTGACTGGTTAATTTTTGTCTCATAACTTAGGATTCGAGGGTAAAATAGTGCCTTGCATGTTCCTATGACAGGTAATTCTTTTATTCACAGCTAGATTCTATTCATTGGTTTTTGTTATCTTACAGGTATTTTGGTACCGTTAACCATACTGAAGGCTGGTGTCCCGGAAGCAAAGCGGCCACTTTCAGTCAGAATGGTTCCTATGCTACTGTCCCTAACATTAACATAACAACCTGTGACTTTACAATTGCATTTTGGGTAAAGTATATTGGTGTTCACGGGCCTATAATGGCGCTTTGGTCAAAGGGTGGAAAACTATTTTACGTGACGGTCAAGAATTCCCGACTCATTCTATCGATACACAACACTTTCCACTTACAAATCAATTACTGGAATCACGTAGCAGTAACCTGTCAGCTGCATAAGATCAAGGTGTTCGTTAATGGTACGGAGGAGGCACTGATAGACCAATGGAATGAGTATTTCTTCTCATCGTTAGGCCGTTATCAGCCAGAGTACATCATAGGGAATGATCCGGGTTTAGTCCGGATGCCAATGGCAAATGGGGTGTTTGTTGGAGCAGTCATGGATCTTTACGTGACTGGAAAAGCTTTATCCGTGAAGCAGATTGGTGACTTAATCAAAGGCAAGAGTAGTATCTAAAAAAATGCACTTAATTATTTGAGTGTTGATATATTTAGTACGAAAGTACTAACTGGGGACACTATTTTTATTTTGCCATTTGCCGACGTTACGACGTCGGACATCGAGGAGGCAGCACCAGAGAAATCACTTACTGACTTGAGTGACGATGAGATTGAAATTGAAATTGAAATTGAATAAGTACTAATAAGAGACTTCCCCGAAGGAGTTTTCTTCAGAGTTTTTTACAGAAACCTTGCTTTGTTACATCTTCGCGTTTTGTTATTGCCATTTATTGTTTTGTTCCAAAATAAACATACTAAACTTGCTGAAAATGGTGAAAATTTAGTAAGCGCCTAGCTTCGAGTAAACGCCCTCCTCGAAGCGCCCACTGTCAAGTTTCAAAAATTAATTACAGGCAAATTTAAGTAACAAAATCAATTTTTTGTGTGCTTATTGTCACATTCAAGGGACCTCGGTCTCGCAGGAATTAACCAAGAACTCTTTTTAAAGGACTCAACGCATGCGCATAATTAAATCAGTTACTTAAGATGACGTCGGTGAGCTGGTTGTTAATTGTTCGAGTTTAATAAGTTGTTAGATAGTTTTGTAGGTTTCGTAGTGTACCTTTTTACATTCATCTATCACTGCAAAAAAATCGGTGGAAATCACTAAATAATCATAGTATCATTCTCATTATTTAAAGGCAAACCAATTACACCCGTGATAAACAACAAAGAGTCGGAAATACATGGTTGCAAAGTCAATGTAACGTGGAGTAGAAAAGAAATATGCACCATAACGAAGAGCACTGTACGGTATAGGGAGATAAAGCAACTAGGCAATGAAGCTGAATGGGGAGAATTAACGGTTCCTGCTACCACCTTTCGTCTTTTACCTCTGGAATGCGACAAGGGGTATGAAATTGGGGTGTCTTCCTGGTTTGGAGAAGTTCAAAGCGACTGGTCAGTTTCTTGGAAATTTAAAACCCACTCTGAAGGTGCGACATTACCTTATGTATGTCCAATAGCTGATAGGGATTTGGTATAGACACTAAACCATAATCACTCAAACCTCTGCGAACGCCCATAAACTGTACACTTCTAGAGAAGCTGGCACCCGCTTCTGCTCCCTCAGAAGCAAGCCACGTAGACAGTAAAACAAACGACGACGGAATTTACCACATGAAAGTCTTTAGATGTTTCAAGAACAGCAACAACATTGAACAGATAAGCCTCCGCTTATGGGGAGCTAATCTGTAATTTTCATACTTTTAGCGATCGTTCTCCTTCAAATAGCCTGTCATGACGTTTTATGTTTACATTTTTCATGGCCATCTCGATCGTTCAACGATCGTTCTGTTTTCAAAGATATTACAGAGATGACGTCAATGCAATAATTCACATTGTTGACAGGAGATAAATTATTGTTTTTTGGTTCATTTTGTTACGTTTTGTTTCGTTTTGTTTGGTTTGTTTATTTTTTCCTTTGTAGAGGAAATTCTAAAGAAAGATTTGACGGACGAAAATTGTCATATGATTATCATTTGCCTTTTTCCTGGAAAAATAACTTAATTTGGAAAGTTCTGGAAGCTGCTCAAAATTAGAGGATACGGTGACTGAGAAATAGCTTCTTTGATTTAATTTCCTCGTGTAAGGAAATACGTCTTTCATCTGCTCCAGTGAACCTTTTCATGAGGAGAGCCCCGGGAGCTTCAGCAGCTACGACGGCGACAGCGGCGAAAACGTCACTTAAAAACCGAACTCACGCTTTTTCAAACTTTATCGCTCTTACTTCGGGTCCATTTCGTTTAAGTTGCGAAATGTTGGCTGATATTCATAAGGGTTAAATTCTAAAGAATTGTATATCAGTTTGGAAAAGAAAATCGCTCTCATGTGTTCAAATCCTCCATAAACGTAAAACTTGGCAGTCTCACGCCGTGGTCGTATAATGACGGCGAAGAACCGGAACGTTACTAAAACGGGGAAAGGGGAGCAGAGAACGAGAGCAAGGGGAACGGGAAAATGAAAAGTGGGGAACAAACAGAGAATTGGAAATGAATTTACCGAGTGGGCTAGGGTTGAAGTTAGGTTTTGTTCCCATTTTTCATTTTCCTGTTCCCCGTGGTCGTTCACTGTTTTAGTAACATTCCGGAGAACTGTATAAAAATGAGTGTTGCACGTGCAAAGTTGTTGTTCTGCTAATACCGCTGACAAACCAAATGCGTTTAATTTTTGCCCTTCTCGTTGCCTTTTCGCTTCAGCGAAAACGTCTGCCATTACTCTTGTTATTGTAATTATTCTGATTTACGCTCTCCGAAATATAATAGGAATGATGAGAACAATAAAAAATAATAAGATTATACGCGATTCGTATATATTTGTATTCCAGAACAAGGTTAATCGAACGAATCCTAAACAGGTGCCCTAATCCTGAATATACGTACGTTACATTGAGGGTAACTAGAATCATCCAAGAATACCGCTTTTTTATAGCGAATGCTAACAACACTCCTCATACATCATAGCAATCATGCCGCCAAACAAGCAGCTAGTCGATTATTTACATAAGCTTACTTCTTCACGAGATCGTACGAAATGATCTGCCGGCACTCAGCAACTGAACTGACCCGTAGTTCTCTTAAACCCGTAGTACACGCTCTAGCTTATCATTTTCTTTAACTTCTTCTTCTTACTTTTTTAACCATTCTTCAACAGCCAAGGGTTCATCGTCATATACCATGTAATTTTCCAGGCTTTCAAATTCTGAAGAACGAAGTGATCCCTTTCAAAGAAGAGCTCCCATCTCTTAAATAAGCCGCCCCGGGTGCTACTTAAACATTAAAGCTACTTTTTCAATGATGTGTATAACTGTTACAGTTCTTAGCATTAACGATTGCTTTTTTCCCTCAGTGACCAGACAGCATCTTACCAATAAAAGTGATCCTACATCAGGCGGTTTCATTAGCCAAAATGATCCTACAGGAGGCTCCCCTATCGCCAAAAATGATACTGCAAAGATTGCCTGGATAATATTGGGAGTTTCCGTAGCTCTCTCTGCTGTGGTGGTGGGGATAATTGTCTACCGTAAGAGAGCAAAGAGGAATGATAAACGGTATTTCATTCAAATGATAGTATCACTCAAATTTAGAATATTATTCTTTGTTGCTGAATTGTTCCATGATAAAGTGTCTGGGCATGTCTATCTGGTGTCGTACTCACTCCCAAGCCACAACTGACCTTTCTTACAGGCCAAGGCAGTGTAACTTTTGACTAAATTTTATCAACTAGGAAGCCGTCCCTGATTTAAGCGCTACCACAAGCCCATGATTAATTACGAGAAATTTCATTGACATTTAATTTGCACTTTGATCCAGTGAGTCTGACATTGCTGAGTTTATGTTGCTGGAAGTCCCACACGAGCGGGTTACTATCATGGAGGAACTGGGACGAGGCGCTTTTGGAAGAGTTTATAAGAGCGTGATGAGGGGGCTACCTGAAAAGAATACATCCTCGAAACCCAAGGATCACAGTTTGGATTCGCATGAGGGACGTATTGTTGCTACAAAAGTTCTACCAGGTGCGTGAATGCAGAGTATGGCAAAAAGATAACTTACTCTTTCAGCAAACGCTATTCACGGGAGTGATTCTTATTAATAACAGGCAAGAGAGCCTCTCTTGTAACAGGTTTGAATTATTTAATCCAATAGATGGCAAACATTATATCGTGGAAAACAGCATGTCAATGCCCCAGTTGGTAACAGTGTGATGTACCTCAGAGGCCCATTTTAAATCCTTAAATTTTGTTTTCTACTTATATTAATTAATGACCTCCCTGAATGTTTGCAATTCACCACACCATTTGCAATGAATAAATTACTGTAGACATAAAAACCTTCAGTGAGATCAGAACGTTGATAAGGTGTGCTCCAAGGTTAGTCGTGTTGTAAGTGGTCTTAGACAGGCTCGAGATTATGTCACATTAAATGTACTAAAAAGTATATAGCGCTTAAATCGATGCCCGTGTTCAAGCGAAAACCGAGCGGACACCTTTTAACAAAACCACACAGATATAAAAAATGCAAAACAGAGCAGGCTGCATGATCACTTCTCAGGGCTGTGACATGATAACAGATTAATCTTTTTAAACCAATTCAAAATGTTAGTGCATGCCTTCGTAATGTGTAGATTGGTCGTTCTCTCAGGGGCACTTAACGTCAATATTCGGAAATTATCTGTTCGGAAGATGATTTGAGATCTAGAATTTTCGGAACATTTGTTGTAAAATTTCTTGCTTGCCTGCCTCTCCTAGGATTTTCCAACTTTTAAAGAATGGTATAATTGCCCATTTTTAACGCATTTTTCCCTAAAAAGGTCACCTAGAATTTTCGGGAACCTTTTTCCTGGTTTAAATTTTTTCGAAAAGGTAAGTTTTGATCCCTATAATGTTCGGAACACTAGTCAAGGCTCTCAGCTAGGAAATCGGGACAGATGAAATATTTTTAAGAGATAAAAATATGCCTATATCTACTGTTTAAATACTAAACACGCTTAACAATGCTATGTTTAAGTGGTTTTGAACTATATCCTCGTTGGGTGCCCCTAGTTCTCTCATGTAATCTTTCGAAATACGTTATTTACATGTTTCAGTCATCACTTGAGAACTTTATCTGATCGTATGTGGCTGCAAATATGACCAGGTTATTGGTTTACTTACTAGAGAACTACATTCATTTGGCGTCCCTTGGAGCACGAGTAGCGGAATTTTAAATTATTTATGTCCCTTCCATATTCATCATTTGTTTCAAACTTACAAAACTGTTAGGAGTTCACGATCATCAACCATGAACTTGTTAATTAATGACACTCAGATCAAGGCTAAAATTTTATCGGGCGATAATGCTTTTTTCGTTTTGTCCCTAAACTTTGCAATGATTCTCCATAGCATATAGAATGTAAAATGGAGTTTGAATATTCGTTCCTCTGAGAGCAATCTTAGTGAAAGCTTTAAAAACCTTTAAGCGTTATTTTTATTTCGTAGTTTTGTTCAACAATTTTTTTTTATTTTTTAATGTTACGAGTTACTGCTTTCTAGTCGTTTAAGTTGAAAACATTTATTGTAAAGCGCCTTGGAGCTTGATGATGATAATGATGATGATGACAGTGAGCCGAAAACCCTTCATGAAACCCATCTACAAAAGCATACTAGGATGTCCCTGTCTATGCAGAGTCAGTGGAAGTGAGCCAATTGGATAGATAGGTTAGGATTACAAAATTAATGTACACTCAAGGAACTCAAAGAAAGTCATATTATTGGAGATGAAGAGACCCTGGGTCGAGAATAGGGAAGCAATTAAAGAACACAAAACGTGGCGTCTAGAATTAAAGAAACAAGTTTCCGGACTAAAAGATCATCCAGCATTACATCATGTTACATGTCGTGCTTGGTGATCGCTAGATAAAGAGAACTAACGGTTTTTCTTTGAGACTTCGTTTTATCTACGTCACTTAACTTAGGGAACCAATTATTTAACAAATAGATTTTTTCTCACGCAGAAATTAGGACCTGAGCCATTGACTGTGTTTTATTTTCATAGGTTAAGTGTACTTTCATTTTAATTAGTTCTTTTTATCTTTACATCTGGTTTTAGTTGTTTAGTACTAACTGATATCGTGTAGCATTTACGTAGGTCACGGTTACTGGATTTTTTTTCAATGTCTTTCTTTTTCTTCAGAAAATGCCACGGAGGAGGAAAAACGGCAGTTAGTTCGGGAAATTGAGCTGATGAAGGAAGTCGGAACACACCGTAATATTGTGAGCATGCTCGGGTACTGGATCCAATCACATCCCATCATGTTAATCATGGAATATGTTCCAAACGGAGATCTTCTTCAGTGGCTCAGAAACAAAAGGCAACAGGTATCATTACTTTATCAGCTTTTTTGCCCTTTGTTGAAAAAATACCTGCTCTCCATTCGAAATAGTGCTGCGTACAGGTATTATTTATAGAACTCAAACTCAGACAAACAAATTCCTTATTTCTGTTTGTTTTTTTGCCATTAAAATGTCAAGTTTCTCTGACTTTTCTCTGACGTCATTAGTATCCTGTGCTGCACTTTAATTTTCTAATGATCATCCTGCTGCGTGTGTTTTTTTCTTACATTGTGTGGTCTCTTAAGGAGCTTTAAGGCAGAAGGAAAATCCTCTATCTCATCACACGTCTAAGAACCATCGTCTTCGTTAAAAATAATAAGATGCTAACCAACTTGATATGAGAATTTGTACATGTTACCTATAATTTAAGTTCTCAAAGACAGAGGTTCACTTAAAAATGTAGGTATAAATGCAACCGGACATTTGTATTTTCCCAAACGCGGTTTATACAGCCAGAGTGTTTAGATGCTATTCATGTATTCGTTAAACAAAGATCGGTAAATACACAAAAATATGTGTTCATAAAGTCAGTAAAGTTAAGCTTGCCCCGGTAGGATCAGTTAAGGTTTCCGGGAAACTAAGCCACATTTTACCTAAGTGAGAAGGTAGTGTTGATGTTGTCTTTGGGGAGGGGTAGGTTGTGAGAAAAGAAAAAAAACTTGAAGTTTTGAGCGTCTCCCCCAGGGGGTTATCCCACCCGATAGGATGAGGATCTCCATCCTTAAATATGGTATCCTTGTTGCCCTTATTGGCGCAGTGTTGCCGATAGGGTACCGTTATTCTATCAGGTAAAATTCACATGCGTTAATGCCCAACACACGAGAAATAACTAATAGATCTGTTAAAACTGAACTTTACCGTAGAGCTGATTAGGAGCGCGATTTAAGGAAGTTTTTTTCTGTTTCCATTAAATCTTAGGTTTTGTTTTTCTCTTGAACTGGGCCTCATTTTCCACGTTTGGGTCTTGAATAGGATATTGATTTTCGCTTGTCTCATCTACTCAAAATTTTTTAGAGTACCCCCCCCCCCCCCCCCAGGTGGGCCTTAACCTTTTCTGGTCAGAATGAATCACGGGATTACTAATAGTGGAGCTACGCTATTGTTTGAGCATGGTAACAAGACAAGAATAGTTTACTTCAACGAACGCATTTCATTCTGGTAATTTACTTATTTTTTTAACATTTTCCCATGTATTCACCGTAGTTGAGCTCCGACATTTGTTAAACCGTTCTTGATTCGAGCTGACAAAGGCCTTCCACTCAAAATGCCCGTCAGCTTTTCGATCCACGGTCTTTCATTGGTGGCAAGATGAGTTATTCAAATCAGTTGATAACATCAGAGTTTTTCTTTTTACCCTTCGACCGACGTAGTAGAAAAGTTTGTTTAAAAAGAACCATCAAAATATTTTGGTGGAGATAATGATTGTCCTTCCCGTAAGCCCTGTACGAGATATGATGTCACAAGTGGCATTAGGTCAAACCTAATATCAAGAAGCACACGTCGCGTTTTTGGGACTGTGTATCTTAAAATGTCATAGAAAATTGTAACAAAGCAGAAGAAAAGCTTTGTTTCTATTGCAGTTTAATCCATTTGAATTTTCCGTTGACGATGTAAAGAAAGTTGGCCCATAAGGTATTCCAGGCTGGATTTTTAGTTTAACGTCGCTTAAGTAATCTTTCAATTCACATGGATTCCTTTTAAATGGGTAAAAATATTTCGGCTAACCAACTGATAGTGTTGAAATTGTTTCTGCTGACCAAACCGTTTCATGATCAGACGGAATTCATTTCAATATTTTTTTGCAGCTTACAATGAAAACTAGTCGTCAGAGTGATGTTGTTGAAAGGCTTAAACCTCCTGTTCCTGAGAGACCGAAATTGGTGTCCAGGAGCCTGCAAATAAAAGATGTCCCGGATGAAAACCTGAAAGAGGAGAACAGGGAAATAAATAATGAAGAAAGTGGAAAAGACGGTGGTTACCATTGCAGCGAGACGAAGAAAATTAAAATCGACCTGGACGACGTTGAAAGAGGAATTCTAATCAACGATGCTCCTCGATCTGAGATGGAACCCCTGTGCTCAAACTTGGAAGACGAAGATGACAAGGAGGAAGAAGAAAGTGACGATGTCAACACATCATTTCTACAAAATGAAGGGCGAAAGGGACCGGTTGCGTCGGTGATGGTGTTACCTTCGATCAGTATTGCCCATTTCTCCAAAGAAGAAGAGCTCACTCCTGCTGAGCCCTTAAGAAACGTCGAAGAAAAGATCACCATCGAGAAAGAAGAAAGCAGCTGTGAGGGCAAGGAAGATGATGAAGAAGACATTTCTGGGAAAGAAGTCTTATGTTATGCGTGGCAGATTGCTAAAGGAATGGTAAGAACTTTTTCGACTGAAGAATGCTTTGAGCAATTTAGTCATCGTTTGCAAATAACAAGAATCTGCCTCTTCCCCGTATCAATACTTTAATACAAGTTTTTCTGCGTCTGCAAATATATGCTATTCGTTCTTGAGACGGCAGATTTTTCAAGCATTCAAATTTCTGCGTTATTTATAACAGACCATAGTAGCGCTAACTACTATCTTGCTGAATTTTTCGTGAAACACAACACATATAAAATTGAGCCGTTTGATTTTAAAAAAGGTCAAAAACGAGAAGCCTAAAAATCACATGGAGCCGTTGTGAAGGCACCTATTGAAAAATCAAGTCTGTTCGTATTTTCAAAAAGGTGTCTAACGAATTCAGCCATATGACCGGAATAAGGCTAAACTATCAGTTATTTCATTTGAATCGTACGAGCCTGATATACAGGGATGTAGCCAGCTTTTCGACTAGTTGTAGGCCTGGCTGCCTTTCCACATATCCTGAAAATTGTACGCATGTCCAGTACGCAATGACCTCACCAACACTTTGAGCTGTTATGTTTTTTAAGCTCGCCCCAACAACGCATAACTTATTACAAGCGGTAGAGTGATCCAATCAACAATTTGAAGGCCCGGGTCTACAGGACTATGGGCTGGCTACGCCCCTGACATTCATGACAGAACAGGAAAAGAAAGCAAAAAGGAGAGGAAAAGAAAAGAAGGGAAGTAGAAAAAAGAAAAAGCAATGGTTAAATTTGTTTTCGGGACTGGATGACTGAGCAGCAAGGACTAGATAAATCTTGACTCCTGTAATCGGGATCTTGGAGAGCACAATACACGGTCTGCAAGTGGAACTGATGGCTGAAAGGATTGCTTTTCGCAAACGGCAACTATGATGGTATTTGCTAACTATTGTAAGCTCAATTGATATATCTGGTGGCTCTTCTGTATATTTGGCTTTTGGGTTTCGCAAATAACACCCTCCCGGTGATCCGCATAACTCTGCCTCATCCAATAACTGCTGTTGTTTATTCATTAGTATGAATGAACATTTTTAACGAAAAAATCTGATCTTTAAATGAATAATGTTCACCAGGTATGCCGTTTTGGGTGACCTCGAAATAGAAATCAGCAGTATAGTAAGAATCAATAGGTTTTTTTTTTCTTTTTCGGGCGTGGCAGTCTAAGGAGGGCTTTATTCCACTCACCCCAAGTCTCCCTGAAAAACAGCATTTAATTAAGTGTCAACAGGTGTCAACGGGCTTTCTTCCGCGATTGAAAACATAACTGAAAACCTTATTTTTCAGCCAATATTCATCCCTTCCAGTTATCGAGGGTAAAATTGTACGAAAGTGATCTGAAGGGAAACAAAAATTACTTCGAGTTAGCGGGAGTTTCGAGTTATCGAGGGTTCGAGTTACCGAGGATAAATTACAGTAAAGGAAATCCAGGGGAAACGGATTCTGGTACGAGTTAGCACAAGGTTCGAGTTAGCAAGGGCTCGAGTTATCCGGAGTCGAATTTAGTTCACTTAGCTTGTTCAACTTTGACGGCTTTTTGTGCTGAAAAGTATACGTCGCGGGGATATTGTAAACCAATTCCTTAATTTGTTTCTTCGTTTTCCAACAGCTGGGACGGAAATCCTCCCTCCATTCTTCATGAATAAGCCGAAGATTACTTCCTCCCGCTTTCCGGACCGTTTGTCAGGCACAGCTTGCAGTAGCCTGTTTCAGGCTCTCGATAGTAGGGGTGGCACCGGCAAAAATAAGGCAAAAAAGCGTAAGGCACCGGCAAAAAAGTGTAAAGCACCGGCAAAAATATAAAAGCGTGATCTATGAAAAAGGGGCGGTGACGGGCTATTTTTGAGCCTGGAACAGATGTTTCATTGCACTTGGTTGCTTTTCCGCCAAATCGTTAAATTAGGAGTTCGTTTACAACGATATCCCGATTAAACTGCTATCCCCCTACCATATCGTAAAATCGAGCTTCCATTTTAATTTCATATTGGAATCTGGTAACTGAAAATTCTTTGAGAAATAATTTCGTTATTTCTCTGCCAGGAATACTTGGCCAGCAAAGGATTCATTCATCGTGACCTGGCAGCCCGTAATATCCTACTTGGTGAGGACAGAGCGGTGAAGATTGCTGATTTTGGTTTGTTACGCCGCGCAAATGAGAGTGGAATATACGAAGTTACGAGCGTACACAAGCTACCAATGAAATGGATGGCACCTGAAGCGTTGGCAAGCGGCGTTTTTACTTTCAAGACTGACGTGTGAGTATATGTTAACGAGGTCACAGTTAGGCCAAGCTTAGCCTTCCTGTGATGCAGTGTGAAGTTGAGGTTTTAGATAACATAGACCCTGCAATGTACTGTTTAGAACTGTCTTGAAAAAAAAAGAGCGCAGTTTTGATCATGACACTGTCTACAGTAGCGGTTATCACTCTATCTCTAAAGAAATACTCAAGTGTTTGGAAAACATTAGCCTGTTCCAGACGTGAAACTTGAAAGTAAGATATATAAACAGAAACTTTGAGCCGATGAAGTTAACCAGAGACCATCTTGGATCCTAGATTCCAGGCTCCACATCCCGCATTCCAGATACTAGATTCCGGATTACAGCTCAGTGTATTCCAGATTTCAAAAGGCCTAGATTCCAGAATTTCATAGTTAGCTGGATTTCGGATTCCAAAGTCCATGAATCCAAGCAAAAATTTCCTGGATTACCATCCATGGGGCGAGATAAACAAAATTGATATTTCTATGAAGTTAATTCTTGCAATTTCTTTATCTGCTTCCTTTTATTGCAGATGGTCTTTTGGAGTTGTTTTGTGGGAACTAGCCACCATGGGTAAGCTAGTTTTATAAATCTTTGTATACTGATGCTAGTAGAATAATACTCTAGTCATTTTCCTATACCAGAGGGAATTGAGAGGAATCTCCAATGACAGTAATTAGGGAAAAGCTGACTGTTCAGTTTTCGTATAGCAGTCACGGGAGAATCGAACCGCTTTATAAAAGAAGCCATTCTCGCGTAATGTCGTGATTGCTAAACAACTAGAAAAAATAATAGGCTATCTTCCGGCGCTCTCCCAGCCGTCTTTACCGGGGAGTAGCGCAGGCTCATAATAATCCAGCCTGTAACTTCATACCCTTAACCACCACCTGATCTGATATCACGTGTCACTTGGCGAAATGAATACTCAGTAATGCTAAACTTGTACATTACGTTATTTTAATCCCTCCTGGAGGTTGGTAAATTGATAATACATGATGGTCATTGAACTGAGTGGAGAGCAATTTGGTCTGAAATCATACACCTGATTTCGCGAGCGAGTTCGACTTGAGATCGGAAGTATGATTTCAGACTAAAATTGCACGACACGAAGTGAAATTATCACTTTATTACAGCCATTTTGAAATCGCAGAATTCAATCCGTACCAACAGTGATTGGCCGTGGCACCAGACAAGTTAGCTCCTTATCCCCCATACTCGTTAACATATATTCTGAAGCCATGCTAAGTGATGCTTTAAGTGGCGTGAATGAAGGTATTCGAGTGGGAGGTCATCTCATTAAGACAGTGCGCTTTGCGAATGATCAAGCAACCTTAGCCAGTTCAGTTGAAGGTCTGCAACTTATGATGGGTAAAATGCAGGAAAGCGCGGGGGAATATGATATGAAGATCAATGTTAAGAAGACTAAGGTGAAGAAAATCTGAAAGAGGCCTGTTGAGGAATTCACGATCTTTCTTGAGGGTAAAGAATTAAGTCAAGAATCGTCGCACTTTAACTGCCTTGGGAGCCTCATTACACAGGATGGATCCTGTGAAAAATAAATTAGACCGAGAATAGCCCGAAAACGCGTTTACTAAGAAAAAAGAACGGCGGACAAAAGCCTTCACCGCGCTAGCCTTTGCCTGAAGAAGAGAATTATAAAGACTGTCATCTGGGGTGCTCTCCTGAATGGAGCCGAATGATAGACCTTAAAGAAAGAGGACGTGCGAAGGCTGGAGAGCTGTGGGATGTGGCTTTGGAGAAAGGTTTTAAACATATATTTGTCTGGCAAAGTCTGTAACGAAGAAGTATTGAGGCGTGACGGTGAGGAGAGGGCCATCATATCTGTTAGAGAGTCTGGCTTGGTCAAACCCTACGACATGGTGATCATGTCCCATTAGTTATTGAGGGAAGAATACCAGGAAAGAGACCACCTGAAAGACCTCGAGCGAGAATGCTGGATAAAGTGAAGGATGGCAGCTCTTACGTAGCGGTCAAGAGGCGTGCCTTAGATCGAGAACCATAAGGAAGGGCTTGCCTATGGGCAGATCAAATAGCCTGTTGAAAAGCGGAAACAAAAGGGCTTTTACATCTCATTTTGTATTCGAAACAGAAATGATGCGATATAAAGCAAAGTGCGACGGTGCTACGTGGTTTAGAACATAAATAACGCGATTTAGAACAGATCTGATTGTGTGATTCGTAAATAAGTCACACTACTGAGAGCGAATCAGATTTCAGGGATCACCAGCGATTTCAAAATGAAAAATTAGAAAAGCCTGATAATCTTTGATCAGACAGCACTGATCTTTATTTTGTTATTTTAGGGGGAACTCCATACCATGGAATAACCCCTATGCGGCTATGCAGTTTACTTAAATCTGGATATCGGATGGAGAAACCCAACACGTGCAGCGATGAAATGTAAGTCAGAATAGAAATAAAAACAGACATCTGAATAGAGGGCACGATGAAGAAATTGTCAGCCTTTTCAAAGGAGTGGAAACTGCAGCGTGCCTCTTTCCTTTACGTTACCTCGTTCTAAAAAGAGCCTATAGAACATAAGTGTCTTCAATATTCAAAGTAAACGGAGACATATCTTTGTGTAGCGGTATTTTAAACTATGGCTTCCTTTTTCAACAGATACAAATTGACGATGGACTGCTGGAAGGAGGATCCAAATGAACGACCCTCATTCGTTCAACTAATACCGATACTGGAAGAGATGATGACAGAAGATACCCCTTACTATTGTTTCAGACTACTGGATCAGAACCAGCCATGTTACCGTGAGGCATCTGCTAATAACACCAGTAAAACTAGTACTTTTGATACCAAGTTGTAATTTCTGTAAGGGCTCTATGGTTTAATATTTGTCAAAGCACCCTTTTTTTCTTTAGATTGTTATAGGGGTCTTGGAGGGGTGGGGAAGGGGAAGCTCCAATATGAAAGCACAGGGGAATGCTCGACGGATAAGTAGATTAATGATTGCAGTTGCACCGTCTGCAACACCAAGAAACTATACCCATAAACTGAACACCTTTGTTTTCATCTTCACTGTTTGCTAGTATTCATAACCAGTCTCCTCAGTTACGATCACAAATGGCAGCCAAAGTAGAACACTCTGATCTTTTCATAATTATATAGATATTTCTTTACGCACAACCCTAAAGCTACACGCAAACGGACGCAACAACTTCCAACAACGTTGAACAATGTTGCGAGTTGTTGGCCAACAAAGTTACGTCCGTTTGCAGGGGGTTAAGTGATACATTTAAGGTTAAAAATATTGGCTTTTTGTCTTGCACAGTCAAAGTGAGACCAAAAACTTCGATGTCTACGTCTAAGAGAGACGAGCAACCCCGTCATTTTCATATGGAAGTTCCCTTGTCCACCAAGGAACAGGACTTAGATGACGAGCGCAACTGTTTAATGGGTATTGCAATAAAATACCTAATAATATTTAATTTCATTTGAAAGACATCGAGAAAATACTGAATAGCACTGGTAATATAACAATTGTAGGGACTAAAATCGGTTCATTCGCAACAAATGACTATTCAGTTGTTAGTAGTTCGGATTGTTTCTTTTACTTTTTAGTCTGTCCACACTATACTGGAAATAGATTTTCGTGTCGACATGAAAATGTATCCGGTAGTATGAACGACAACCGTATAGAACTGGAACAAGTCGTCCACACATATCGAACATCGCACCAGAGCGGTCGGTTGGCCGGGAGGCCTGTTTGGTGAACTAAATCCCAGTCCCCTCTCCTAACATTTACTTTCATATCAGTGGGTCCCAGCCCATGCTCGCCCCTACTCATTTGACTTGAAAAACTGTTCACACTGCGACAAAAAGTGGCAGAAATCTATACGATATGTGATGATCCATTTTTCAAAATCGTCGGCGGCGCAGTTTCGTTCCTTAACAGAAATAGCCGGAAAATCACCGTTTTTCTATATGAGCTGACAGAAGCAAAATCCGGTATTATTTTCATGTCGGTGCAAGGGCTATCTGATCATAGCCTTCAGAGTTTCTCATACGCCAGCTATTAACCTACCACATAATTCCGTGGCTACAATTCAATGTTACGAACGTTTAAATCGATCGGCTAGGTTAGATTACAACATTGCCACTCGCTATAAACATGTCATGTCATGTTGGAGAAACGGACTATTGACTCAAAAAGGTGACATCAGGAGTAAGGTGATAAAAGGCACTTCGGTTCACCATAAAGATTTTGCGGCAGTAGAAGAAAAAAGCTTAATTATTGTAGAGACCTTTACTGGTGTTGAATAATAATTATAGTGATTATAGTTTAGATTTTTGCGTTCTTTCAAGTAGTGTCATTAGCAGATCACTTAAGAAACCCACGTCTGGGTATGATAAGTGAAGATTCGGATTATCAGGGCAGTTAGGAAAAAATAACATTCAATTTCCGACCAATGGTGCCAATACAATAAGCAATTCAGGAACCTTTGCTAAAATTTCTGCAGCTAAGGTCTGGTTTGGAAGTCAGTATATATAACACACTATTCTCTAAAGGCACACAATCAGGGTCAGAGGCGGGAAAGAAGTTATCCGCTTCGGCGTTCATCCGATACCCTCCTCGATCTGCATAATTTATATAATTCTTTTTATTTAATGGATCATACACCAGGAACGAAGTCAGCACCAGCAAAGCGTTTCAGTAGTTGTAGCAAGAACTTAATTTATGCAACTTAATTTATTCATTTAATACATAGTGCTTTATTTTAATACAATAGTGCTTCATTTTATAATGATAATAATAAATTTTTGAATGGCAAGAGTAAGATTAAATATTGTAGGGGCTTCGGTATGAATGGCGTCACTTTGATATATCGTGCTATTATCCAAATTCATAGCCAGGCCAAGAAAACCAGAAGGAACGAAAGTCATCACTCTTCTTCCTCGTGTTCTCAGGACATGACTTCAATGGATATATCGAAAGTGGCCTATTTCATAAACGAATGTCCAGCTTTTGTCAGTTTCTATATATTTCATGTCATTCTTTAAAATAAATGAAAGGCTTTTAAACTTTATCTGTGTTTGTTGTTTATTTCTGAGTGGTACGCTGAGAATCTCGAGAAAAGCAATCTCCCTGTTCCCCACAAGACAGGCTATTCAGCCTAATGATTTAAATGAGAGGGAAAGCGAGACCATTATGTGGTATCTTTGTGTGCTAAAAGGTTAATTTGAATTACACATGTGCTTGACCACATGTTGCAAAAAGCAAAACAGGTTGTGCAAGATCACTGATTTTTTTTTTTTGTACCTCCTAACTGATAAAAAAACCAATTGTCAAGTCATTGTCTGTGTATACAGCAACCCCTCACGGATTTTTCCTCTGGAGAGCTATTTTAAATGGACCGGCACAAATATCATAAGGTACATTGCATTTTGGACTGGAGGACGAACTGATCGAGTGAGACAACTTGAACGTGAGTTGAAAACGTGGGTTGTAAAAGAGCCGGCTTCTTTGGCTCTCTACGAAAGGGCGTAACAGATTCTATGGTAAATAACTGACACGCCGACGCCACAAAAAGAGGTTATCCTCTCTGAGCGCACCTGTATTTACTATAAACACATCAAACAACAAGAAGATATATTGAAAGATGGTGCCACTACACAAATGCTTGTGGAAGTAACGTCATATGAGTTTGGTTGAGGATATACAGTACAGAGGCACCCAACGCAACGACCGAATGGTTCCAATTAAGTCAGGAGTGTTTTTATGGGAATTTTGGTCGTCTCGAAAGATTTGGAGGGTTTTCGTCTCATCCGAAACTGTTAGCTATCATGATAGGTCGACTGGTCGAAAAATAGAGGATATGGAGTAGCCGTACTTTATACCAAAATTCGCAGGAGACCTTCTTTAATAATGATGGCAATATCTTGGGAAAAAAAATGTGAAAATCGCCGAATACCTTTTTCGAATAGGACTGGCAGTTATCCAGGAACTTTAGCCTTTCTCGAGCTCAAGAAATTTCTTAGAATATTTGCTCCTTCGAACAGTTATTTTACAGAAAAAAGGTCGTTGGTTCCCCCCTGACAGTAGCCTGCGAGGCAGCTCATTGTGAGAAGTCGTGCGTGAGTGGGACAAGAAAGGAGATGTGCAAGTGAAGAACAGCCAGCGTTGTCTCGCGACAGTCGCACTCGAAATGGAGTCGAGCTTGCTCGCAGGCTAAACATTCAAGTTCGAATTCTCCTGAAAGTTGAAACTGTTCTTATGCACCATCTTGTAACTATTGGGAATCTCTGATGGTAACCTAGCGAACGACGGGTAACTGCTGTTTCGAGCCTTAAAATGACTCATTAATTTAAAAAAAAATGTTTCTTAATTTATTTATTCATTTATTTATCAGCATAATATTCAGAGCGAATTAAAGGCTTCATTTTAGTCGTTTTCTTTTTAATAAGCGAAACAGGAAAAATCATGATAGGGAAAAGAAAGGCGCAAGGAAAGGTTGCTTGTAATAACATCTGAGGATTATGAGCCCGCAAAACTCATCACCACTGGGCACCGAGGATATCAGTTGTTGGGTATTGTATGGGGAGGAAAATTTACCGACACATATATACGTAAAATTTCGAAGAAAAGCCCCGGGGCTTATATTCTTCAGAGGCCCTTTTTGAGGGGCTTATATTCGGAGGGGCTTATCTGCGGAAGGAAATTTGCGCTTCAAAATCGATTGGGCTAGCCTTATAGTTGGAAGGAAATTTACCATTTTTGCTTTGTTTTACTTTGTATTTGAGGGCTATTTCGAAGTACAAGCCCCTGGGCGGGGGGGGGGGAGTGGCGCTTATACTTGGAGGGGCGTTTTAACGGAGGGTTTTTTGCGTTACAAGTTTAGGGGGCTTATACATAAAGGGGCTTATTTACGGTACCCTTCAACCTCTTTAGTTGCCTTCATAGACATCCCCATACACCTCGTACCTGCCATGTTTTCAATCAAAACCGCTGGGTACTAAACTGGTGTCGATAGATGTCATTTAGAGCCTTCCATTCTGGGAAGGGACTAGACTTAACGGAACGGGATTGGCTGTCTTGTTCTTCTTTTATATCAACTATGCTTGCAATGATTTCGCGCGCGATTATCCCGTGTCCACTAGCTTCCCACGGTGGAAGACGTTCCTCCATCATTTACAATCCCGCCGTCCTTTGCGCCTATTTTATCGAGAAACCGTCGTAAACAGTGGCAATTTAGACAGCACAATTTGGAAGCTTATCGGCCGAAAAATTCTACCTTTGCTTCATTCGGTTGTAATTTAGAAGAATCCCGTCCAAAAACTGTTGCATTCCAATAAAAGGTTTTCTTAATACGTTTAAAGCCAAATTCTACATCTTACGCGTTTGGTACGAGACAAGTTGAAGGGCGCTTTTTGCTAAGTTGCGACAGATGTGATTAAAATATTGGACATTGGCCAATTTTAGGGGTTTTTAAACGACCTCAAGTGACTTAAAAGCGGGCTGAAATGCAACTAATGTAGCCCAAAACAGTGTTTCGATGTACGACAAGATCAAAAAACAAGAGTTTCTGTTCACTCTTGACTGATTGCACCAATCGATGTCTTTTTCATCAAAAAGCTGACTAAACAAAATAATTGAGGGGAAATTCAAATGAGGGTGATACGCTTGCGAAGGAAAACTTCATGAAATTTTTATTAGCGAGATTGTCTTAGACCACCAGGGGTCGGGGGTTTCGATCTGTATTACGCAAAATACTTTGCATAATATACAGGTAGTTTTAGTTTTCAAACAAAAGTCTTGGAATACAAACTATAAACAAACTAATCTCGCACCTGTCGTTTATAATTACT